AGGAACTCTTTTTCTATAATTTGTGTGAAAATAGATGGAACCTAAAATGGAGTCATAGGCATCCATGAACGGTATAGTATGTAAACTACGCATAAACTATATATTACGCTACAGTCGCCATTAAAAGTACGAACCTCTCTATTAATCATCTCCGTGGGATCATAAATGAGCCTCGCGTAAAACCTGTGAACAGTCGATTGCGTAGGCACCACAATACAAAGAACATTCTGGTCAAATAGCGCGATTGACGTGCCAGGTAATATAGGCGTTCGTGAAAAATCCAAACACATGGTTCCATCGACTATGGTACGACACAGAGACCGCTCCTCCAAAAACAGTTTCTGCCCTATTGCTCTCCTGAAACACCACTAGGCGTGCGAGAGGTAATGAAAAATGCCTTGAGCAGTGCTTCTAAAAAGAATAACTCTTGGAAATTCCGAATGAAAATAATCTGAATATTATATTTGGAAGGAACACTTGGAAAGCTCATCCCTGAAGAGCATCAAGACTACTTAAAAGTGAAACCCAATAGCCGTCTCTAAGCAAGTAGGAAGGCCAAGCAATGTTTTCCCTTCTGCCCTGTAAGATCAGAGCTGAGCTTTTCATGCCTTGGCCCCCTCAGTGTTATTGGCATTGAAGCTGTAGCTTGCGCTTGCAGGAACCGTAGCTTCCATGCCATTGCTTTACTGGAGGAAAAGGCTCTGTCAGATTTTGTATTTATTCAATCTCACCATAAAATGAAGCGATCAGGAAACTGGCTATCGGAAGGAAAAGTACAGACTCCAGAAGACGAATCGATGTTAGTATTAATTGAGTGAAGCGGTGCATCTAAATAACATTCATTCTTTGTTTACAACATAGAAAACTATGAAGTTTTGCAAACAATAACGCACTTGTATTCACAACAAGTGTTCGAACTGGCTTTGCTGCGAAACTTTCGGTGAAAACAACTTCCGTATCATACATGAAGTCCATACCCTCGAAATAGAATATTTCAGATCTGCGGATTCTTGAAAAAAACGAATGTATGTGTACGGATGCTTCAAAACACACATTGGCCTGAGCTTAAATCGCCTCCGGAGAGAGATATGATAAGAAGCACGAACCTATTTCGAGAAATCACAGTAATGTGGTACTTCGAGCCAACCTTGCTAAAAGAAATTCAAAAGTCTGAAGTCGAAAATTCGAATTTGCGGTCGAAAATTCAAATGTAGAAGAGTGCAATTGCGTACTATATGAAGCTACAGTAATACCGTCTTCGAGCAGGCGGCTGGGCTATGCATACTTACTCCATTGTTCCACAAACGAGTGGACTTAAAATTAGCCGTCTCATTTTAACCATATCTGAATAGTGAGAGCTTGGTTGTGTAGAAGTAGCTATCTATACTTCTAACTCCATAGCATTCAATCCAGTAGCTACATAGATTTTGTTCGGAATCAAATACGGCATTATACAATATTTCACATATGCTTGTGGTTAATGAATCTTTTACAAACTGCTTGAATGTTGCTTTTGCATCAAAAAGCGTAATCAAAGGGTTATTTAAATTACCGATTACGGAGTGGGAACTTATCAAATTTTCATCTACATGGCAAACCACAACCGGCCCGTACTATTGTAAGGCAATCTCTGAGAGCAAGTCTCACGGTCAGTGTGATTTACTCCCTTCTAGAAGTGACCCTCCACACGAGTGACCCTCCTTACATTATTTTGATTGTTTTTTTTTNTTTTTTTTTGTGTTTGGGGCAATAAATAGCCTAACCTCTCCCCCTACTCCCCTACTCTACCCCTTTCAGGTGATTAATTGCAGCCCCTTACTGTTGCCGGCAGGACGGACACGGTCCCTTCGCGGACTTAGCAAAGGTATTTAAGTTCTCCTGTGTTAATAAAGGTTCATCCTGTTGATCTCATTATCTTGTGTTGTGTCTGATTCGATCTAGCTGTAAGACCAACGTCGCTTCATACGTTGAGGCATATGATTTTGGCAAGCACTACCTAATGAAGTATGGTATGGTGCACATGTAAAGGGTTTGCAGCACAATTAAAAGCATTGACAGAGTATTTATTGATAGTTCTCATTCACATATAATCCAATTTCAGAAAAATCTGGCATAAAGTTCTCGGAGCATCCGTAATCGTGAGTTCAGAAAGTTGATGACCTTGTGAGAAATATAACTAAAGACCAAGTCAAGGTAATCATCATGAGAGCGAGAAAACGTACGTACACAATATGAGGCAGTTGGAATTTGTTTTGCACATTTTCAAATTGGCACCTTAAAAATGAGTAGTTTTAATCAGTCCTATACATAAAGAGAACAGCTAATTCCACTGAGTCTTTTGACGGCCTCTGAAATGTTCCATTGTCTCGTTGGCACCGAAATACCGGGCAAGCACTGTTTGAACACTGCACGGTAGGAATCTGAAAAGGAACACACAACATTTTCGAGTAGCTACTTAAGTTTTACTATTTTATTTTTCACGATAGCCACCAAATCACGATGAGGTTCGAATTCAGAATGACAATTGAAGCAGCGACCTTAAAAAGAAAACGGAAAGGGCAGCGTTCCTTGGGCTGGTAGATCTCATTCTATACATCATGTGCTTGAAGTTGAAACTCAGAAAATACCCTGGGTACGTGGCCTTAACTACATATCAGAGGGGTAGCAAACTATTTTTACATTCTTTTAGTCCTCTTAATAAATAGAGGGTTAGTTAAGAGCTAAGAATACCTGCAACGCTCGAGAGTAATCGAGATTACGATCTTTCATTGCTGTTTCGTAGTTCTCAATGAAACAAATATATTATCTAGAATACGGGTTTAAAACTGAAAAATCGCGGCGCTAAGAACCTAAAGGCATCATAAAAAGGTTCATTTTGGAGATTCACTGT